CTGCTCAGCAATTACATTTTTGACACTCTCGACCATCTCTAGCACATCCATAACTTCTTCCGGTTGACTATCCTGCTGCTTCTCACTTTCCCTTACCTCAGTTTCCTCCTCCATCTTGACCTCCATTTCCTGTTTTTGTTCCTCCTCCTCCTGTTCTTTCTCTGCATCACTATGAACTATACCTATTTCCTTTTCCTCTTCCTCTCCTGCTTCCTCTATTTCTACATCATTGTGCTGATTACCTGTCTCCTCCAACTCTTCCTCTCGCTGAGCCACCTTACCCTCTTCTTGTTCCGCCTTCTGTTCTTCATTACGCACCACCTGATGCTCTTTTTCCTTCATTGATTGTCTTCTAGGCCTAGCCTCCATTTTATTTATTTGTTCTGCAAATTCGATGCGTCTACCTTCAAATAAAGCTAAAGGATAAAAATTTACTTGTAAATAATTAAGAACATTCAAACTCACAATCTGACACTTAGGCACAAATTGTCATCAAGCTTTATCTAAATTTTTTTTGTAAAGAGATGATGACACAAGACTGATTATGGCAAGTAATTACAAACGAATAAAATGACACAAGCAAAGACCCCCAGAAACCTACATACTAAGATATTAGTAGCAGGTAACTACACCACATTAACTGATGGAAAAACAGGACAATTTTTTGCTATTGTACTTCACACTAGATGAGAAAGAATAAAACCCATCTTTGAAATAAAATCATTCTTATGCTATCATGTCATGCATTAATTTTTCCTGATCCCAGAAAGACTAATTATCTAATCCCATCTCAGTAGTGTCTATCCTTCCATGTATGCTCCTTCTCTGGATTACATCAATGTTCACTTTTTTCTTGCCTCATTAGCATTTACATCTGGCTAAAAAGAAGTCATCTTATTCAAACGCTTAAGAAATACACATACATCAAGCACTACCTACAACATGGTAAATTTCAGGTTAAATTCCATCATAAGTCAAATGCTGAATCACAATTATAGGAAACTAACATGTATGTGTGAGTAGATTACCTTAGCCATTTAGAAAATTTCACTGGACCTCTTCATGTACACTTACCATTCATTTTTCTCTGTGACTCTTCTATTAATTTTTGGGTAGCTGGACACATTCTTCCAGGAATATAGAACAAATGGGGCTTTGTCTTAGTTCTTATATATTTAATTATCTTGGCATTATGTTCATTCCATTCTTCTTGCTAAAGAAGAGGTAAAAGGTCATGTTTTGTAAACATGAAGGATTACCAATCTTAAAATTCCAATTCCAAACTACTACTCACCAGCTGCGCAAGCTCAACCTTCTGTTCTAAAAGGCGCAGTTCTGTCTGTTTAGCACGCCTCTCTTCAAACAGTTCTCTCCTCTCATTTTCAACCTGCTTTCTTTCTTCTTCTGCCTGCACTTCAAGTTTTTGTTCAATTTCCTGGCGCCTCTTTTGCTGAAGATAAATAATTATCTTTGAAAACTCATTACATATCCCGATTATGTAAAACATTACAACTTTACTAAGTTATCTTTATAGGTTTCATATTTGCAATTCAGGATACCAGTTAATTCAAACTTAGTACTCAGCATTTGAGGCTAATTGCAATTTCTTTCAGGAAATGGGGACTAAAGCCTTTCCGTGTAAAAATCTAAATGTCAAGGACATTAGACATATTATCAATAACTGTTCCACTTAAATATAACTGTTAGCAAGACTCTTTCATAAAACCTAAAAAAGAAGAGCACTGTCTCAGTTATCTTCACAGTTAGTCTTCCTTTCAAATCAAAGAATGTGAGAGAAGTGACATCCTGTCTTCAAACACTGTGCTTTGAAGTCTTTTATGTTCCCTAGGAAAGTTAACATACAAAAGCTGTAATAAAATTTTATTAATCTATAACTGAATTGTTATCTCCCTTTCCACCATAGTTCTCCTTTGAGAAGCAGTAACTTGATATTGAACACCAAGGACCCAATTTTGTAGCTTTAATAAAAAACCTCCAGAAAGACTGCAGTTAAGTAAACTGTGGAAGGCAGGTAATGTTTAGGCTTTTGCTTCCAGCGTGCCAATTGTTGTCTGAGTGTATAAATAACTTAAAAGTTACAATCATTGAACTAGTTACAATGCTGAGTTCAACTCCCTTGTTTGAAAGAAAGCACTCTGAGGTGTAAAGAAATGAAGAGTCTTGTCCAAAACCACAAAATGAGATGGTTGTAGAGCTGAGATCAGAACCCAGGTTCTCCTGAGTCACAGACCAGGGCTCTTTGCACTGGAAGAGGACCCAGGACCCTGGAATCATGACCTGAGCCAAAGGCAGACACTTAACCGACTGACCCATCCAGGCGTCCCTGTAATAAACTACTTTTGAATAAAGAATCAAAGGAAAACTGTATAAATACCCTTTCAGTAGCAACAGTGGATTCTTGTTTAAATTTCTGAAGAGTGCCCATCAGTAAGCCAAATATTCGTCGGTTCCTAAAGAAGAGAGAGAGAAAATTCAATTTCGGTAGGTTCCACTTCATTTAAGCCTGCCATTTTGTAAAAGAAACATACCACAGACACTTGAACAATTCTTAAATATAAATTTTCTAAAAATTGCATTGTTTGACAGGAATTTTTCCCCATAAAAAAACCTAAAGATACCTTTGCTTTCCCTTTTCATCCATATTTTGATCCTGGATAAGGTCTCTACGTGTGCGCTCTTTGGAGGTAGCTACAACTGAAGACTGCAAAGCTGGCTGCAGGAGAAAATAAATCTCAGTAATTTAACAAGCACATGAAAAGGTAGCACTCTTAAATGTAGCAAAGATGGAAAAACCGCTCATCCCGTAAGTAGTTCTTTTCATCTCAATTACCTTTTTAACATCATCATCCTCTGGGTCGCTTTCTTGGCGTGATTCTCTCCTTGTCCGACGCTCCCCGCCCAGCCTGACATAGGAAAAAGAATTTAAAAGACCACTGTAAAATCTGACTTAATACCAAGGACAAATGATTACTTTTACTATGACTTATTTCCAGAAGTCTCATTTTTATCAATCTCCATCCCATTTTACTCTTTCCTGTAGTAGTAAAAGGATAAAATGTGTCACCAATGCCCAATCCAAATACTGATCTATATTTCTCAAGGGGATCAAGTTTTTACAGTACAAGACAGAAAAGTAGCACAAACTATTTTCTCAATCTTATTCTCGTGATCTTTATTTTGGTAAAGTTTCTGTTACTGTTAGTGAAAAACTGAGTTCTGAGGAATACAGACTTAGTTCAGCCAAATACCAAGGGAACAGACTCAGTTGAAGTGGTATACTACTTAATTCTAACACAACTCAACAACATTTATTAAATAATTATATCTGCGGCTACCTCAGAAAAAATAAAGCATACAAGTATGTCTTGAGAACCTTTTCCTCCAACGTACCTACTGACTGCCCCTTCAAGGTCTCTCTGTTTGGCTGGGGGTCCTCCTCCACTATCTGAGAATCCACGCCTGCAATTAAAAATGTGCAATATAAAATAAATGAAATTTAAGATAAATGATATTTACCTTTAGCAAGATCATTTAGTTGAATTAAAAAAAAAAACCCTTCCAATTACAACAACCTTAAATGGGCATCCACTTCCAAGATGCTTTTTAGCACTTTAAAAAAATATAAAAATTAAGTGTAAACAAATTGGGTAGTTTATGTATTCTTCAGTCTCTAGTTTTGCATATAAATGAAGTTCCAAGATAACTATATAGGAAACTATAGCTGATCACAACTTTAAACGAAACAAACACAAATATATCTAACGTGGGCTCTACCACCAATTTTGTTTAAACCAATACTTAATTAATAAAAGTATCTATGGTCTTAGCATATAAATTAAGTCCTAAGAGAATCTTACCTCAGCAATAAACTACCACGTCCTCTACCTCCACCAGGACCAGAAAGGGCCAGCAATCTGGCTTGGATGGGCCTAAAAGGTATTTACAAATCAGTATGAAAATCACTTATTTAATGTCACCAAATACTTTCATGGATGCGGTACATCATAAAAAGAAAAATAACCAGAAAAGTTCTAAAAATACGGTTTCAAATCCACGTGCTTGAAACAAGACAGGAAGTCCTATTTTAACTTCCTTGTTTTTTCAAGACCAGTATCACAGAAATTACATTTACTTCATTGCCACTACACATTAATAAACTTTGATCAGGCCCTAATTTCGCCAACTCCGAGGAAGCTGCACGTGGGCAAGAGGGCAAAAGCGCGAGGGACAGGCGGCGGACCGCGCGTCCCAGGAGGGTCTCTGGGCCAGCACCCGGCCAGGTAGCCGCCGGATGGGGAAGGGGCTTTGTGCTGCAGTTCCGGGCCTGCAGGGCCGAAGGCGGGAATCGGCAGCCCGGGCCTTCCTATAGACCAGGGAGGCGTCCCGGCATAGGTAGAACCCACTCTCTTTCCTCGCGCACCTGAGCTCCGAGACCGACGGCGAGGGCGTGGGAGACTCCCCACCTCATCCAGGACCGGATTCTACCGCCGCCCCGGGAACAGGCCCAGATGTTCTAGCCCTCTCAAGGCTAGCCACCCTTCCCGCCCCCAAGTCACCCCGGCATGATGGCTGTCTCTCAGCCGGCCTTTCTTATCCGCCTCTTACCTCACGTCATTCGGATCCCGTCCGGTGAGCTTGCGAATATTCTCATCTACGTTCTTTAGGCTCTCTTTGGCCTTTTCTAGCTGCTCCTGCAAAGTTCTTACCGCGACCGCCATCTTCTCTCTGCAGCAGGCTTCCAGACGGCTCTACAGGCCGCGACTGGCTGTGTCGCGCCGCGAGACGCGTGAGGACTGACAGCACGGTCCAGCCAATGACAACAAGCGTTGTTTTACGGCCTCAACCACTCAGCGTCCGGAAGAGGGAGAAGCTGCCGGCCTCTGTGACTCTGGGCCAATGAAAAGTCTTCTGGGCGGTTGGCTCCCTCCCCGAATTAGCTGCGGTGGCCGGGCTCGCTTCTAGCGCAGAGCCTGGGCGCGTTTGAGAGTCTCAGGGTCCTCGGAGGCGCCGGTTCACGGCCCTGCTCCTGTGGCGCGGAGCGCGGAGTTTTCCAGCCCTTTTAACCTGGGATATGACGTGCCTTGTATCTTTTTAACCACCTAATTACATCAGAGTGGGATGAAGGCGAGTCTTTTCCCCTCTTCCCGGGTAAATGATCAGATTAGGAAAGGGTGCGGCCATTCTGTCGGTGCGCATGCCCAGAGAGGGGTTGGAGGGGGTGGTGCAGGCGTCTCCATTGGGTTAAACCAAAATGAGCAGAGGGAACCAAAAAATGAACATGAAAAGTCATTAATCCTAATAGATAACAATTTTTTTTTTCGGCACGGTATGAAACGTTTTATATACCTTGTCTTTAACTCAAAGCTTGAATAAAATGCTTGTTATTACTGATAAGGAATTTGAATCTGGAGATAACTAACTCCCTAGGTCACGGCAACTGATAATCACTATTTCATCAGACCCTGTGGAAGGGTGTACTAGATTTAAAAAAGCAACGACGAGACCTGTGAGGCTGGCATTATTGTCTACACCTGGCCTATACGGCTGGTTAGTTTAAGATGGAATGGATGGGGTCTGGAGCTCATTGTTACCTGTGTGTATACGACAGTGTCCTCTAACTTGTGGTTCTGTTCTATGTACACAGACAGCATAAGAACCGTTTTGTTCCAGAAATGCATTTGCAAATTACTGCTCACTGCTCACAAAGCATTTCCCCACAGAAACAATGTTATGAATAATCTTGGTTCTCATCATCTTTTAGCCGGGCATCAACCTTGCATCAAGCATTAGGACAACAGTGTTTAACTCGAGTTACCATCTTAATTTGTCTATCTTTAAAAGTTCCTTTGTGCATCAGCAGTAATCTAGGCTCTGAGGATAAAACCTAGAACAAGATCGCTGTGGTTCCTGTTTTTGTGGGGTTTGTAGGCTCCTCGGGGAGCAAAAATCATTTATGTACTCATTCATTCATTCATTCAGTAGTATTTGCTGAGCGCTTACTATGTGCCGGGCACTTTTCTAGGTACTTGGAGAGTGCAATAAAGATCTCTGCCTTCAAGGAGCTTGGGGGCAGGAAAAGTATGGAGACAGAGGATAAATATAAGTAAATTACATGGCATGTTAGAAATGGAGAAGTTCTTTTGGAAAAAAAAATAAAACTGGGTAAAAGGGATAAGGGTTGTTAAATTGATTGATTGTAAGCATGAGAATGTTGTAATAGTAGATACTAACCACCAAAGGTAACAATGTTTCCATGAGAAAATGCTTTTATTTATTTATTTTTAAGATTTTATTTATTTTTAAGATTTTATTTATTTATTTGACACAGAGAGAGGAGCGAGGGGACATAAGCAGGGGCAGAGGGAGAAGCAGGCTTCCCACAGAGCTTGGAGCCTGATGTGGGGCTGGATCCCAGGACCTTGGGATCATGACCTGAGCCAAAAGCAGACGCTTAAGGACTGAGCCACCCAGGCACCCCGGGAAGAGGCAACCAAAAACATAGGATCTTTTCCTGCGTCCCTAGGACCTATTACTAGGATCCTGGGCAATTTAATGTAGTCAGCTTTATGGGGGACCCCCCATTAGGGGGTTGTTGTGTTCAACATTTAGTAATAAATACTAGTTTCCCATCAATTCCAAAATACTCTAAGAACCCCATGTTATTTGAGAAATCAACCTTAGTAAGTTGGTCAGTTGGTTACTCTTTGACCTCAATGGTGGGCTTGGACTCCTTTTCCTTGATGGTAATGATAAAGGGAGAATGCAGTCAGGACATAAGGAATATGATTCCACATATGGGAAATTTGGGTGCTAGGAAAATTAAGATTATGGCTGCAAAATAATCTCTGAAATTACACTAGTATTATTAAATAACAAAAATTCAACAGAGTAAATTTTAAAGATACAATTAGTTTTATTAATTGATTCATGAATTGGGCAGCATTCCATCTAGCATGCAGAGGAGAGTTCCAAAAGTCTACAGAAAGGGAAAGATTTTTACAGGTAGGACAAGGAAGTCATAAACAGAAAAAAGGATTATTTCAGGTGAGGTCACCTTCCTTTGGGAACAAGAGGGTCTAATTAGGTGTATTACTACCTCATCTATCTTTGGGGGTTGGAGAAAGCCTCTCTGACAGATTATCTTATTGGTATTGACCAGAAAAGTTCGTAACTTACCAGTTAAGACTACGTTTCTGGTGGAGGAAACTGCAATTAGGTTAAGTATTAAGCTCTAATTTGATGACATGGCGTAGCAAAAATGACTCCCATTTTTGGGCCTGTGGTTTTCTTTTTAACAGTGTTTTCAAAGGCTTAGGTGGAATGTTTATGTGATCAAAAAAACATGCAAACATTAGAAAGGACATATTTAAAAAAAAAGAAAAAAGTTGCCATAATTCCAATTATGGAACATCATCTTAATTTTTTTTTAAAGATTTTATTTATTTGAGAGAATGAGCAGGAGCAGAGGGAGAGGGAGAAGCCGACTCCCCGCTGAGCAGGAATCCCGACCTGAGCCAAAGGCAGACACTTAACTGACTGAGCCACCCAGGCAACTCTGGAACATGATCTTAAATTCCTGTGAAAGAATATGGAGAGTTGAGCGGTTATTGTTTTTTTTGGGTTTTTTTTTAAGACGTTTATTTATTTTTTTTTTAAAGATTTACTTATTTGACAGAGACACAGCGAGAGAGGGAACACAAGCAGGGGGAGTGGGAGAGGGAGAAGCAGGCCTCCTGCGGAGCAGGGAGCCCGATGTAGGGCTGGATCCCAGGACCCTGGGACCACGACCTGAGCCGAAGGCAGACGCTTAATGACTGAGCCACCCAGGCGCCCCTGAGCGGTTATTGTTAACAACTAGAGAAAATTGAATATGTAAACTTGGGGGAAGCATTAAATTAAATTAATTATATTAATTGGGAAAGAATCTTCCTCGTGAATTACTAAGAAAAGAATCAATTACAGGCTAAGCAACAAGTTTAAGCCAGAACTTGACAAATTTAAAAGGTGCATATATATGTGTTTGCATCTCTGTAGGAGTTAAATCCCATATCTGCCATAGATAATAGGCTCCTTTTCTAAAAGATTTTATTTGTTCATTTGTCAGAGAGAGAGCACAAGCAGGGGGAGCTGCCAGGCAGCAGGCTCCCTGCTGAGCAAGGAGCCCTATGTGGGACTCATCTGATCCCAAAATCCTGGGATCATGACCTGAGCAGAAGAGAGACAACCGACTGAGCCATCCGGGCGTCCCTGCCATAAATTCCTATGAGCTACTTCCCACAGTGAGGTTGCTTTTCTGGTCTTCGCACTTTTTCATGCACCTAATCGTCTGGTTCTGTATTTTGTTTCAAGTGCACCTTGTTCTTTGCTTACTTCATCCCCCTTAACTCTTTTTTTTTTTTTTTAAGATTTTATTTATTTATTTGACAGAGAGACACAGCGAGAGAGGGAACACGAGCAGGGGGAGTGGGAGAGGGAGAAGCAGGCTTCCTGCAGAGCAGGGAGCCCGATGCGGGGCTCGATCCCAGGACCCTGGGATCATGACCTGAGCCGAAGGCAGACGCTTAACCGGCTGCGCCACCCAGGCGCCCCCATCCCCCTTAACTCTTATACCTGACTCCCAGTAAACTTCTGGTGGCCAAAATGACAATCTTTTTGCATACCAGGGTTAATCCACAGTGGATTGGGACAATTTCTCAATATCTAAACTTTATAACCTGAAAAAATGATTTATTCATTCACTCTCTTTACTCTTCATATTGAGGAACATATGGCAGAAATGAAAACTTTTGATGAAGCTAATTCTTGTCAGTTCTAACACATAGCTGGTTAACACATTTCATCGGGCGTTCCTTTGTCCCCCCCTCACAGCCCCGCCCTCGCTCCCCGCACCGCGTCTGAAGTCGTTTGTGAGAGGAAGCTAACCCCCTGTCTGGACACCAGCCGTTGGTCCCAGGGAAGTAACTGTGATCATAGAGCTGGCGAATGCCCGGATAGACGGGACCGGAAGTTGTTTTTTTCGCCCCCCGCCCAGGGGCCGGATAGGGTCTCCACTGGCTCTATTTCCGCCTGCTGTCAGAGTTGTTGGGCCTGAGGTCTTGGTGGCCCTGCGTTGGGCTCGCCCCGGTACCGGGCTCACACTTGTACCAGCCTTGGGGAAGCGGAGTGAATTCCTCGGTCTCCTAGCAACCAGGAACTGGCTGTGGACTGAAGGAGTCGCGGTGCCGCCGTCCAAATCGCTCAGGCGCTAGCCGGAATCTTTGAGCCCTGCCCAAACGAGAGCCGAAACCCGGCGTTTGGAAGACTAAGCAGGAAATGGCGGACGAGGCGTTGTTTTTGCTTCTCCATAACGAGATGGTGTCTGGAGTGTACAAGTCCGCGGAGCAGGGGGAGGTGGTGAGTGCTGCCAAAAGCCCTTGAGGTCATTTTGCGGTGACACTCTTTGTTTCCTCTCAGTTCTTTCCTTCAACCCTTGTCCTATGGCCACCGAAGGCCTTCCGAAGAGTAGACAAACTGGTCCACGTCCACGTATCCTAAGCCCAGAACCTGTCATGACAGTCTCTTCAGTCTTCTTTCATCCTTTTCTCTTTGGCATTTTCTGTTTGATCTTTTTTTTTTTTTTTTTTGTCCATTCCCATATTTGATTCTGCAGGTCACAGATTTTACTTTTAGCGTTGTCGCTACCGTAATTTATGGCAGGGTTAACCGCACAGCTGGTTTTGGCACCCCTACGTAATTCTGTCACTTCCAGCACCCCGGAGCCATCCACTGGACAGACTTGAGAAACTCCCCCCACCTCCTATCTATAACCATCAGCATTACTGCACGCACCTCGAAGACAGAAGGCTAATGCGATTTGAGATTAAAGGGAAGTTTGCAGGCGTTACTATAATTAGGAAACACATTTAATTCAAAAAATAGTTATTATTTAGTGCCCATTATATGTCAGAGGTAGTTCTTCGTGCTGGGGGTATAGTAATGAAACAATGACTCCATTCTCCAGGGAGTTCCTTCTAATTTGTGGGAATCTTCATTCATTCATTGATTCATTCAGAAAATATTTATTAAGTGTGTATTGTGAGCCTGACACTGATCAACCCCCCACCTAACAGTCATTGCGGAATAGGGGTTCAATGAATAATTAATGTATTGGGTAGTAATTAGGTATAAAATCATGGAGTTCTAATGAATACTATAAATGAGATACTCCAAAGTCATGCTCAAGTCAGAAGCCCTTTCTATAATGCTGTTGATAAAGAGGGGTGGAAAGTGGGGGTAGGGAAAGCATCTTAGGAAAAAGTAAAGGCATAGGGGTATGAAAGAGTGTAGTGCATTTAAATATGCTTAAGCATTTCACTGTGACTAGATTGACTGGGTGGAGAGTGAGAAATGTTGAGAACTGAAGCTGGAAAGAGCCCTGTATGCGGTATGATTAAAGAATTTCACATTCGCAGTGGAGATTTTTATTTTTAAAGATTTTATTTATATGTTTGACAGAAAGAGATATAGTGAGAGAGGGAACACAAGCAGGGGAAGTGGGGGAGGGAGAAGCAGGCTTCCCACTGAGCAGGGAGCCCTATGCAGGACTCAATCCCAGGACTCTGGGATCATGACCTGAGCTGAAGGCAGACGCTTAACGACTGAGCCACCCAGGCGCCCCAATTTTTTTTTTTTTTAAGAGAGAGAGAGAGCACGAGCTGGGGAGGGGCACGGGGAAAGAGAGAGAGAGTGATGGGGGAAGGGGTAGAGAGAGAGGGAGAGAGAATCTTAAGCAGGCCCCACACTCAGTGCAGAGCGCTATGTGGGGCTGTCTCACAATCCCGAGATCTTGACCTGAGCCAAAATCGAGAGTTGGACACTTAACCCGACTGAGCCCACCCATGTGCCCCAGTGGAGAATTTTAAAGATCAGAATGGTGTGGTCGATTTGCATTTTAGAAAGATAATCCAGTGTTTGGGTTGGTGAGAGAAGATCCTTGTAGTGAGAAGATTCATTATTTCAGGAGTCGGCAGGAGATGATGAAGATCTGAATTAAGACAGAAAAGGAGAGAATGGTTTGAAAGTTAGGAGGTAGAATTTCTAGGACTTGGTTAGGTATAGGATTGAGGATTGAAAATTATCCCCAGGTTTTTAACTTGAGCAGCTGTCCTGGATGGAGAGGAAATAAAAGAAAGAGATAAAGAATGAATTATTTTGGGGCACCTGGGTGGCTCAGCTGGTTAAGCGTCTGCCTTCGGCTCAGGTCATGATCCTGGAGTCCCGGGATCGAGTCCCGCATCGGGCTCCTTGCTCAGCGGGGAGTCTGCTTCTCTCTGTCTCCCTCTGGCCCTCCCCTGCTCGTGCGTGTGCGCACTCTCTCTCTCAAATAAAATCTTTAAAAAGTTTAAAGAATGAATTATTTTGAACAGGTTGAATTTCTTAGGTGTCTGTAGGAATCTGGGAAAGGTACTGCTCATGTGTAAACCACAAGAAGGATAGTGTATTAGTCTATTCAGGCTGCTGTAACAAAACACCGTAGAGTGGGTGACTTTATTTCTCACAATTGTGAAGGCTGAAGAGTCCAAGATCAAGGCACCAGCAAATTCTGGTCTGATGAAGGCCTTTGCCTGGTTCATAGATGGATGTCTTTTGGCTGTATGTTCACATGGTGGAAGGGGGCTAGCTAGCTCTCTGGGATCTCTTTTATAGTGGCATTAATTCTGTTTTTAACAGCTCTATCCTCATGACAGAATCACCTCCCAAGGCCCCTATTTAATACTATCACATTGGGGGTTAGGATTTCAAAATAAGAATTTTGGGGGGGACACATTCAGTCTATGGCAGAAAAGCATGATGCATTTGGAGATATTAGAAAGATACTGGGAAGAGTATTGGAAATGAAGCAGATCTATTCTTATTCAGACCCATCTGTAATAGAGATTTTTTCCAAGTTACACACTTTTGACTTCATTATCATCAACAACCAATAGTTATTAATGTTTAGCATCTATGCTAAGTGATGAGTAGCAGACGTTTACTGTTTAAGCAAAGTTAGCCTTCTTTTTACCCTCTTCCCAAAGAATAATGAGCAACACACCTCTTTTACTCTTTTGTCATTAAACCCCTGCTCCCTCAACAGCATGTGTGCAATCAGTTCTTTTTACTCCTCTCTCTCTACTTTCCCTCTTTCAACTTTTAGCCTGGAAAATCTTTTTTTTTAATCCCTCTTTTTTCCAGTGGATTAACCAAAATAAAACAGAGCTATTGTAATCATGACTGATAATATTAAGAGATGTGCTCGTCATATAAGGGAGAGGAAAGCTGTAAGTTTTGAATCATTTAATCTAAACAGAACTTTTGGGGGGCACCTGGGTGGCTCAGTCGGTGGGGCCCTACTTCTCCTTCTCCCTCTGCTGCTCCCCCTGCTTGTGTTCTCTCTTGCTCTCTCTCCTGCTGTCAAATAAATAAATAAAATCTTTAAAAAAAATAAAAATAATTTTGGGGTGCCTGGCTGGCCCAGTGGGTAGAGCATGCGACTCTTACTTTTTTAAAGATTTGTTTATTTCTTTGAGAGAGAGAGCACAAGAGTGGGGGGGAGGGGTTGCAGAGGGAGAGAGAGAGGGAAACTCAAGCAGATTCCATGCTGAGTGTGATCCCACAACCCTGAGATCACAACCTGGGCTGAAATCAAGAGTCGGACGCTTAACCTACTGCGCCGCCCAGGTGCCCCAACTGAGCATGAGACTCTTGATCTTTGGGTTGTAAGTTTGAGCTCCACCCTGGGTGTAGAGATTACTTAAAAATAAATATTTAAAACTAACTAAATAAAAATATATATTTTTTCTTATTGCACTTTGTTTACAGTGGGGAATTGAAAGTGCATATAAGCAAAAAGGATTTTAAAAAGTTAATGTGGCGGTGTTGATTAGAATTCATTTCGGAATCTAGGTATATGAGGGTTCGTTGTATTAGTGTCTCTACTTTAAGTGTACTTCAGATTTGTCATAATAAAAAAATGTAAAAGAAAGACACATAAGCCTGACATTAAGCAATCATTTTTATATATCTTTTAAGAAATGGTCATAAGTTTTGAAGTGAAATAAAGGAAAGAACCAGTGTTCTCACCCTCCGAATCAATGATTTTCAAACTATACTTAAGGAGGAATTAAATCTTTAAAAGCTGAATAATTGGGCATTTACCAATTTATGGAGAATAGATTTTTAGTTAATAGATAAAATATCCTCAAGTTTAATTTTTCTTAAAGATTTGGTACCCACTCATTAATATTCACAGATACCAAAGTGAATGAACAAATAGCAACATCAGAAGGTATTTACTAGAGCATAATTCAAAAGCTCATGTGATCAATAGTTAGGATTTGAGGATGTCTACATATAATCATATTTCCTGCTAATCAACATACTCCTGGCTGATTCTACAAAGACCAGATTGTCCCACAAAGGCTGACAGGTTACTTATTCCACCTGAGCATTTTTTTTTTCCACCTGAGCATGTTTTGAAGTGAGCTGGAGAATAACAGAAAGACGAATGATTGTGGTAAGTACAATAATAGATTTATGTGCAGAGTGTTATGACAGCATGGGGCCTAAAGGAGTGTGAAGGAAGGCTTTTGGGAGGATATGATACTTAGGCTGAATTTAAAGGATATACAGTCTATTGGGTGGCTCAGTTTGTTGGGTTTCGAACTCTTGGTTTTGGCTCAGGTCATGATCTCAGGGTTCTGAGATCAAGCCCCATCTCAGGCTCCATGCTCAGTGGGGTGTCTGCTTGAGATTCTCTCTGTTCCTTTCCCTCTCCCCACTGCACACACACGCTCGCTCTCTCAAATAAATCTTTAAAAATAGAGGTGCACCGGGGTGGCTCAGTCGGTTATGTGTCTGCCTTTGGCTCAGGTCATGATCTCAGGGTCCTGTGATTGGGTCCCGCATCCAGCTCAGTGGTGAGTCTGCTTCTCCCTCTTCCTCTCCCCTTGCTCATGCTCTCTTTCAAATAAATAAATAAAATCTTAAAAAAATAAAAAAGCTATACAATGTATGGAACAGCATGTGGTATTCCATATACCGTATGTGGCATGGCTGAAGAAAGCATGGAACTCTGGAGTTGTTGCATAAATTTCAGAGTGGTAGAAGGAGAGATGTTTGTGGATATGTGGCTGTTAGTGAATCTGGTTAACTAGCCAGGATCATTTAAGGAAAGGCACATAATGCCATGCTAAGGAGTTTGATCTTTATTTTGAAGAAAGGGGAGAGGGTGCTGAAAGGTTCAGTAGAGAACATGATTTGGTTTTTAGAAAGTCTGTACCAGAAATACCGAAGACAGAAATCAAAGGAGGAAAAAACTAGACAAAAGGAGATCATTTGGAAAGCTCTGACTGAAAACCAGGAGAGAAATGAGAAGGGCTAACTTAAGTAGTAAGGATGGAGAGAGAAGATAAATTTTGAAAACATATAGACGATAGGCTCCATAGGACTGCAGTGCATGTGGAGGATTGGGAGTAAAGAGGTGAAGAAAATGGAAGTTTTCTGGTTGGGGTTACTGGGTGGATGGTGGTGCCATTAATGAATTTAGGGAATTTTAGAGGCAGCACAGGCTGAGGAAATTAAGATAATAACTTTTTTTAAAAAGATTTTATTTATTTATTTTTGAGAGAGCTAGAGAGTGCCACACACGCACCTGTGGGAGCCAGGGTGGGGGTAGGTAGAGGGAGAAAATCTCAAGCCGACTTCGTGCTAAGCATCCAGCCAAATGCAGGAATCGATCCCACAACCCTGAGACCACAACCTGAGCCGAAACCAAGAGTTGGTTGCTTAATTGACTGAGCCACCCAGGCGCCCCTCATTTAATTTTTTTAAAGATTTTATTTTTAAGTAATCTCTACACCCAGTGTGGGGCTCAGACTTACAACCCTGGGATCTAGTTGCATGCTCTTGTGACTGAGTCAGCCAGGTGCCCCGAATATCATTTTGAATGTGCCTTATTTGAGGGGGCTGTGGGACCTCTCTATAGCTATGTCCAATAAACTCTGTAATATAAAAGTACAGATTTAGTAGTCACAACCTTATTAGTAGAATACATGGTTCCTTAGAAGAAAGTTCAGCAAATAATGAGGTCTATGATATACTTAGTGGAGACTAACAAGCTTTAGAATATATAAATATCCTGCCATTTTGGAGCTGTATTCTAGCAGAGGTTGGGGATGTGGAATTAGTAAAATGTATATTGTATGTTAAATGGTGAAAGAAGTTCTTTGGAGACTAATTAAGCAGGGAAATGGGATAGGGCATCAGAATCATTTTAGAGGGCTTTTTTTTTTTTTTTTTACTTTATTTTTAAGTAATCTCTACACCCAGCGTGGGGCTTGAATTTACAACCCAGAGATCAAGAGTTGCATGCTCTACCCACTGAGCCAGCCAGGCACCCTACTTTTAGAGGGCTTCTTAAAACACAGATTACTAACCCCACACGTACAGTTTCTGATTCAGTAAATTGGGTTTCAGAATTTGCAGTTTTTACAAGTTCATACATGATGCTAATGTTACTGGTCTTGGGGCACACTTTGAGAATCACCAGAACGGAGAATTTCTGAAAGGGAATAATGTTGCAGTTTTAAAGAAGATCGTTAAAGTGAGCCTCATTGATGTGGGTGGGTAGGGTGATGCGTGAAATAAAGGTGATTAAGAATATACTTAAACTGTGATGAGCACTGAATAATCTATAGAATTGTTGAATGATTATATTGTATACCTGAAAAAAAAAATGGGCATGTGACATGTGAGTGAAGACTTGAAGCAAGGGAGTTCGTTATGTGGATATCTGGAGGAAGAGCTGCCTGTGCAGGAGACTTGAGATTGGAGCATGCCTGGCATGTTTAAGAACAGCAAGACTAGTATAGCTAGAGCCCATGTGAATGAAAAAGAGTAGAAGGTTGAGGCCTGCGAGATAGAGAAATCTGGATTATATACGACTTTGTAGATTCAGCATATGAGTAGTATTTAAAGTCTGAAGACTGAATGAGATCGTCAAAGAGCAAACCAACTCAACTGCATGATTCCTGGCATAGGATGGTGGGGTCATCAACTAAGACACTGAGAACTGGAAAGCTTGGATGACTCTAAGAGACATTTTGAAGCAAGGAACAATAGAATTTAATGACCTCCCAAAGGGAATGACTGATGGAAAGGTGATACTTTGACTTCATTTTTATAACTGAGGAGAGAAGAATAGTTGAAAATGGGAAAAAAAAAGAAAGGTTAGAGGGAGTAATTAGGAAGAGGGGTTGGCATTTCTGAAAAGTAGTAACAGTTCCCTGTTTACTTTATTGCCTTATGAAATGATTAGTACTAAGAAAACTCAAATATAAATTGTAATTCACTTTTTCTTAGAATACTTTAGTAAGGGTGCCTGGGTGGCTCAGTCGGTTAAGTGTCTGCCTTTAGCTCAGGTCTTGATCTCAGGGTCCTGGGATCTAGCCCTGTGGCAGGCTTCCTGCTCAGCAGGGGAGTCTGCTTCTTGGTCTCCCTCTGCCCCTCCCCCTACTTAGGCTGTCTCTTGCTCACTCTCAAATAAATAAAATTTTAAAAAAAAGAAAAAGAATGTTTTAGTGAAAAAAGTGTAACCACTTACATTAATATTTTTAGTCAACATCTTAAAACAATTTTTTAAATATTAATATCCTCACATTCTAAAAATATTCCAAACTAATATTTTTTAAAATAGGAAAATGGACGCTGTATTACTAAGCTGGAAAACATGGGGTTTCGAGTGGGACAAGGATTGATAGAAAGGTGAGCAGTATGGATTTGAAAATTTTCTTCCAGGTAGGTTATAAACAAAGATGATCCATTTCAAAAGATTGTATAAAATTTGAAATACTTTAGTTTTAATTCCTAAATTTTATTTATTCTCTGTTCTTTAATTCACAGATTACAATTTGTTTTTAGGTCTGATGCTATTTTAACTCCGTTATCCAACTTTCATGTTTTAATATTTGAAGAAAATGTATATGTATATTTTGTATTTTAGACTTCTTTCCTAAAAAATTTGGTGTACTGAAACAACTATCCAAAATCTTGTTGCATTTTCTACTTACGGTCTAGGAGGTTCTTTAACGTAAATGGATTTTTGTTTAGATGCAAGGGATGGAAATGCTTTAGAGTCTATGTTCATGCATTTAGTAATCTTCTAATTTATAGATCAATTCATAATGTATTCCTTTCTCATTATCTGAATAACTGAATCTGGTTATGTTTTATATAACAATACCATGATTATGCTCAGCATTTTTTTTTTAGTGTGCTAGAATGAATCGTACCTAAAATTGCAGCTTACTGTTAGACTAATTTTAGCACCATAATTACATAACAATGTGAATTGAGATGGGATCTTCTTTGCTTGGTGCTTATCACTTTATGACTGTCAGTAAATGTTCAGTGCTATTTTGGCATTTCAAAATTAGTGAATAATATGACCCTCCTGCTTTCTTTGGAGGAAAAATACTAATTTAAGTTGGTTTTTTTAGGTTTACAAAAGATACTGCAAGGTTCAAGGATGAGTTAGATATCATGAAGTTCATTTGTAAAGATTTTTGGACTACAGTATTCAAGAAACAAATTGACAATCTAAGGACAAATCATCAGGTATTTAGACAAATTAACGCCTATTTTTTAAGTCTTTTAACTTAACATAAATATTCTATTTTAGTCATTTATTTATTATATAAAACTTTAATTTCTAGTCAACTTTGAAATGTTTCTTTTATATGTTATTAATACATCATTACTTTTCTCTATAATAGGATATAGTGAATAAAAAAAAGACAATTATCGGTAATGATAGATGTTTCTTTCCCCCAATTAAATAACTTATCTTAGGTTTTAAAAAGTAGCAAATGTCAGAATGCTAAAGGTTTTAGGATTTGGTTCCTTAGTTATTATTACTTGGTGGTGGTTTTCTGCAGAACCACAAATATGTCACATTTGTCTTTAGAAGGGTGCCGGGGTGGCTCAGTTGTTAAGCATCTGCCTTCGGCTCAGGTCATGGTCCCGGGGTCCTGGGATCGAGCCCCACATAGGGCTCTCTGCTCAGCGGGAAGCCTGCTTCTCCCTCTCCCACTCTCCCTGCTTGTGTTCCCTGTCAAATAAATAAAATCTTAAAAAAAATAATTTGTCTTTAGAGTAATTTCTAAAGTTTAATTTATAGAGCATATTTAACTCTTAAGTAACTCTTGCAATATTTAGTTGATGTCATTTTTCTCTTCTTAAAATAATTTGTTAATATAAGGTTTAATAGATTACATGGAAATTTATGCATTTAAATAGATTTGTTTTATAAAACTCAAGGAAATATTTAGAGTGGATTTGGCATTTTGATTAAGGATTAGAAAGTGAAAATAATTTAGTAGCTACCAGTAGCTTTCATTTTTTCATATAACAATATTTTACTTTGTAAATATTGAAATGCTGATGGGAAGAAGTGACTGATTATTGGCTTTCTTGATATGAGCTAATAATATATAACTGCTAATTCCACCTGGAAATGTATTTCTGATTCCTTTACACTAGACTGTGGGCTCTTTAAGGGTAGGAACTATCTTAACGACTAAGTCACCCAGGCGCCCCCAAGGGTAGGAACTATCTTATGCATCTTTATATCTTTAGTATCTTAAAGCATTCAATAAATATTAGTGTTATAAAGTTCTGAACAACTCTTCAGCTTGAACACTGCAAAATTCCTTCATTTAAAGAAATTTGACCAGTGGAAAGGAGAGTTTTAATAACTTAAAAAAACTCTTGAATTGTTTTGAAGGGAAGAGATCATTTTTAAGGACTACAGACTACACTGACTTTGGATGTTTTTTCTATTTTTGAAACAGGGTATCTATGTACTTCAGGACAACAAATTCCGTCTGCTTACTCAGATGTCTACAGGAAAGCAGTATTTAGAACATGCATCTAAGGTATTTAATGGAGTAGAAGATGGGGGTTTTCATAGGGAAAGCACAATGCGAACCACAACAGACTTTTGAATTTAGAATAGGTTTTAAAGTTGTTCTTTTTTGTTTAAGCACTTTTTTTTTATTTGACAGAGAGAGAGACAGCAAGAGAGGGAACACAAGCAGGGGGAGTGGGAGAGGGAGAAGCAGGCTTCCTGTGGAGCAGAGAGCCCGATGCGGGGCTCGATCCCAGGACCCTGGGATCATGACCTGAGCCGAAGGCAGACGCTTAATGACTGAGCCACCCAGGAGCCCCTCTTTCTTTCTTTTTTTTAAAGATTTTATGTATTGGGATGCCTGAGTGGCTCAGTTGGTTAAGCGTCTGCCTTTGGCTCAGGTCATGATCCCAGGGTCCTGGGATTGAGTCCTGAAACTGGCTCCTTGCTCAGCGGGGAGCCTGCTTCACCCTCTGCCTGCCATTCTCCCTGCTTGTGCTCTCTCTCTCTGACAAATAAATAAATAAAATCTAAATAAATATTTTATTTATTTGAGAGAGAGAGAGCACGAGCAGGGGAGGAGCACACTCCCTGCTGAGCACAGAGCCCGATGTGGATCATGACCTGAGTGGAAGGCAGATGCTTAACTGACTGAGCGACCCAGGCACCCCTTTATTTAAGCTCTTTTCAATGAAATAGGAGACAGGTGTTCATCATATTAAAATAACCTATATTAACCTCTAGCTGAATAGGCTTATGATGACTAATGAAACACTATAAATAAATGCCATTGAAATGTAAATTAATGTTAGATTCTTGAATATAGCATAGATATATCAGAAAAGATAGTCAAGCTTGTAAAACTGGCATTAGTTGTACGAAATTACTCACCTCAGAGTTTATATTTACAATCTCCTTTAGTTAATTAAAAAAACAATTTTTTAATATTGTTAGCATTTGTTTCTAAGAATACATGTTTTGTGTTAAGTATATCTGTGTTTCTGGGTTTTGTGTATAAGACAACTTAGGTGGTGATTCTTAACTTTTATTTATTTATGTATTTTATTTTTATTTATTTGAGAGAGAGTAAGAGAGAGAGAGAGCACAAGCAGGGTGAAGGGCAGAGGGAGAAGCAGACTCCCTGCTGAGCAGGGAGACTGATGCAGGGCTCAATCCCAGGACCCTGAGATCATTACCTGAGCTAAAGGCAGCTGCTTAACTAACTGAGCCATCCAGGTGCCCCAGCAGTGACTTATTAATAGCAAGGCTTAACTAAATGTCATATTTATCAGTAGTATTGCTATCTTAGTAAATCCTTAATATTCTTTACATTTTTGTCCCTTTCAGTATTTAGCATTTACGTGTGGCTTAATCAGAGGTGGCTTATCAAACTTGGGGATAAAAAGTATTGTCACAGCCGAAGTGTCTTCAATGCCAGCCTGTAAGTTGAATTCACATTTCTTAAAAATGTTTTCAGTGATTATTTTTCAAGTCTGGTGTTTTTTTGTTTGTTTTTGTTAATTTAAAGAAAATTTAAAATGCTAAAGCCATTTTGTTTTAACTTTTATCAATTTTAACTTTTAATGTAATATGTAGAATTCATAATGGACAGTGATTTAAGAAAGTGTGCTAAAGTAATCCAAATGTATAAGACAGTTTAAATGGTGATTCTTTTATATATTTATGTATTTATTTTTGTTTATTTGAGAGAGAGCAAGAGAGAGTGAGTGACAGAGCACGAGCCAGGGGGAAAGGCAGAGGGAGAGGCAGACTCCCTGCTGAGCAGGGAGCCTGATACGGGCTCGATCTCAGGACCCTGGGATCGTGACCTGAGCCAAAGACAGATGCTTAACTGGCTGAGCCACCCAGGTGTCCCTATGTATTTATTTTTAAAGATTTATTTATTCTAGGGGCAGGGGAGGGCAGAAGGAGAGGGAGGGAGTCCCAAGTGGACTCTGTCTTCGGTGCGGATCCTGACACAGGGCTCAATCCCAAGACCCCAAGATCACGACCTGAACTGAAACCAAGAGTCAGATGCTCAACCAACTGCCCCACCCAGGTGCTCTGGTGATTCTTAACTTTTAAAGGAAAAATTTCTGCATTATTCTTTTAAGATAACAAATTTCCCTATAGCATTGAAAATGTCTTTTTTAAAAACAATTTTCTAGAATAAAGCTAGATAAAGCCACTAGTCTTTTATCGCTAAACTCCTTTCCAAAGATCTTTTTACCAAAGCTACCAACCAAGAATAAAATTGACTTGAGCTTCACTATATTTCCTTTCTATTCACAATGATAATAGGCAGTGAAATACCCAAAAGGTAGGAATCACAAAGAGAAGCAAAGACACCTATTCACAAAACAAATAATCATCTCATAAAAATGAAATTGACTTTATTGAGTATTATGAATGAAAAGTGTGAAAAGATGTTTGACATAGCAAGTTTCTTCATTGGAACTACTCTCTAATACAACAGAAAATTGATGTTTAGGCTTTTTTTCCTTGTACCTAAAAATCAAGGAATGATTTTTCCTTTTTCCTTTTTTAGGTAAATTTCAGGTGATGATACAGAAGCTATAAAACATACTGAAATGCAAGGCAAGGCTTCAACAATGTAAAGAGATAAATTATTCATGTATAAAGTATTTCAAGTAGCAATGATTTAATTATTATTGGACATTTGTATTGATATAAGCTATTTGCTAACTTATGTAATGAAAGATGCACTCTTAAGCAGGAGTAAGGTTTTAGTTTATTAATTTAACAGACCTTTTTAAAGCAGATAAAGAGACATTCTATCATAACATAGATTTTACTGTAACTATTCAGAATGAAAAACCTGATTTCAAATAACTAAACCCCAAGATGTAGGACCCTTATTTTAAACGTTCTTATTTGCTTATAGTGGTGTGTATTTAACCACAGATAGAGAAGCAAAATTCAGGGTTTGATGAATTAGCATTAAGAAAAGTATGTATCAATCAGAATCATTTCTGTAAGAATGAACAAATTCTGATTTTGCTTTATGAATTTGTTTTAGTTATTTAAGAAAAGCAAACAGTACACTAAATTAAACAATTTTTATTTTAATTTATTTCTATTAAGAATTTTTATGCCTATAAGGATTTTATTATATACATTGTGTATTGTGTGTGTGATACATACATCCTATCTAACCGCCTAAATTGCTTAAAAGGTTCATTTTACTTTAACAGAATTTAGTCCTTAATTTTACTTTAATAGAATTCAGTCCTTGAGAGCTCCATTAATGTAATAAGGTGTAATATAGATTAGTTTAAATGTGAATTCAGTGACTCCAGGGCCAAAGAATATTAGGTATTTGAGGAAGGAATTTTATACTTACTCCTGTTACAGTCTTGACTTCAGCTTCTCTCCCCATGTGTGGAAGGGCTGGTGAAGGTTCTAATTCTCTAATTACTATTTCCGAAGAGCAGAGGGGTGGATAACCGGATTAGGCACACCAACTTTCATTGGACCCTATCTTCTCAGTGTGTTGGCGTCAGTGCTCATCTCGTACATCTGTCATTTCCTCTTCCGTCTGATAACCGGGAGGATAAGCATAAAGATGAAAGCCATCATATTGAGGATAGCAGGATGCATAGATAGAAAGCACCTTAATTGTGCTTCTGAATTAACCAATCCTGGAACTGCTTTTTCTTTGGACTTTTTGTTACATGAGATAATAAATTCCTTAACTTGTTCAGTCTACTTTTGGTTCTGTATTTTGTTACTTGCTGTACATCTTAAACTTAAAAAACAATGTTATATGTCAAGTATATCTCAAGCTGGGAAGAATGAGTACACAAATTTGTATGTATAAGGATTTTCACTATTTAAGTGTTCACTGATGGCACTTGATTAAATTATGGTACTGACATATAAGATAATATTGTGCAGCTGGTGAAAAGGATGAAATCTACATGTATATATGCTATTAATTAACATTAAGAGAAAAAAGTTTGTTATAGGATACAGCACATACAATGTATAAGTATACATGATTCTGAGTATTAGACTGGAAAGTTACAAGTAAATTGTACAGTGGATAGATTTTTGACTTTTAGCTTTTTATTATTTGGGTTTTAAAATAATCATTTGCCACAATAAAGGTATTTCTATTTGAGGTGAGAAATCATGATAAATCAGTGATTTTCAAGCTATGTTTTTTTGAGTCCTAGGTTTCACAGGGTGACCTCAGCTGAGAATTTGGTGGGGGGCAGAGTACAGGCCTAAAGCTAGCGGAAGTCAGGGAGGCCACCTAGTGGAGGCCTTGGGTTTGGGAGAAAGGCATTATAGTGTCATCTGCAGAGGGGATTTATTGTACATCAAGTTGCTCAGTGCCACAGAGAAGAGATTGTTTACTACATGAAAGACAAGCCAGTGATACAGATCAAATATTTAAGCCACTTGTGCCCAAGGAACCAGGTAAGCCATTGTTTTCTCTTTCAAAAGGGGGACTCTTTGGGTCATCAGCTATAGACCACCTAGCAGAAGGAATACTTCTCCACTCTCGCACAAAGTTGTATCGAGCCTCATCCAAACTGCTGCTTTTGGATAATAACCCCTTCTTTGCAGCAGGAGTTCTTGGGAGAAATGTTGGAGAAAACTCTCAGGACCCATACCTGGGATGGGATAGGACAGTGGTGAAAACTCATTTTCTCATGGTATAGGATTCTGTTTTTTTTAACCTTTTGGGGGCCATGGACTCCTATTTGGTAGTGTGATGATGTTTATGAACTCCTCACAATGTTTTTATTGCACAAATAAAATACATAAGACTACAAGGGAAACAATTATACTGATATGTTATCAAAATATTTTTAAAATTTGATATATACTTTAAGCAAGGCAGTATATTTAAAATATAGGCAAAGGGCCAAAAAAATAAATGAATAAAAATAAAATACAGGCAAGGGGCACCTGGCTGGCTCAGGGGGAAGAGCTTATGACTCTTGTTGATCTCTGGGTCATGAGTTTGATCTGCTCCGTTTCCATACTGGGCTGGTTCACCCCTCCATAGACAACCTGGTGGACCCCTGCTCCTGGGAGGCCACCATATTGATGCCAAACTTAGTGCGGACACCTGATCGGCATAGCGCACTACAGCCCAGAACTCCTGGGCTCAAGCGGTCCTCCTGCTTCAGCCTCCTGAGTAGCTGGGACTACAGGCACACGCCACTGCGCCCATGGGTCGTGAGTTTGAACCTCACATTGGGTGTAGAGAATATTTAAACTTAAAAAATATATATGTATGTATATATATATAGGCAAGTTAATTTTTTAATAAAGATGAGTATGACAGCTGTTGTTTAGCTTGCCTAAGAACCTGTGGGGTGGTCTTGTGGCTCAGTTCCTTCCATTTATAGATCAATCATACATAGGGAATGGTGGAAAGTAATGCAAATACCAATGTCACCAATGTGAGAACATACACCTACAATGTTGGGTGTTGGCTTCCAGGCCTATGGTTATTTGGTACCAGAAGCTATAGACAGGAAGTCTGCAATCACACATGATCTAGAGGTAGGTTTAATAGCTACCATATTTTGAACTACTGTGTGAATATTCTAAAACACCTGCAACTACAATTTGATATGAAAACATTTAGGACTTCTAATGCTAAGAGTCACAGTTATCAATGAATGCTGCTATGGTTTGTTGCCTATGTTTGTAACTGAAGGAAATGCTACGTAACGGGAGGATAGTAAAAGTAGAGATGTAATTTTTTTCCCATTCAAGTTCATGGACTCCAGGTTAAAAACCTGTTAATGAGGGGCACCTGGGTGGCTCAGTCAGTTAACATCTGCCTTCGGCCCAGGTCATGATCCCAGAGTCCTGGGATCGAGCCCTGAGTCCGGCTCCCTCCTCAGCGGGGAGTCTGCTTTTTTCCTCTGCCTCTTCCCCTCCCCACTGCTTTTATGCTCTCTCATTCTCTCTCAAATAAACAAAATCTTTTAAAAAAAAACCTGTTAAGAGAGATAAAATCATAAGATTGGTATAAACATTGAGATAATCCATGTAAATAGCACAGTGTCTGTTGTGTGTATATATGGAAATAAAGAAAACACAGAATATTCTGGCTTATAAGCCTATTGCAATTAGAAAGTAGCTTCAATTTCAGTATCCTTTTGCATGATTTCATCTTAAATATAGTCATCAAGGACCCTTAATGAATAGCATACCTGTTTTAAAGAGCAGATGTATTTTTCAAAAGTAGAAAACTATATGGGGGTGATGGGGTGGCTCAGTTGGTTAGGTGTCCCAACTCTTGACTTTGGCTCAGGGTTGTGAGATTGAGCCCTGCATCAAGCGCCACACTGGGCGTGGAACCTGCTTAAGATTCTCTCCCTCTGCTCCACCCCTCCCTCTAAAAAAACAAAAACTATACTGTATGAACTATACTGTATACTGCATACATAAACTGTTTAGTCAGTGGCTTCTACTAACCGTAATGACACAGCTTGATCTCTCAGGTCTAGCAGTCCAACCTCATAAGAGGACTTAGGACTGGAGATGTCATCAGAATCAGTCTGTTTGGGGGCGCCTGGGTGGCTCAGTTAGTTAAGCGTCTGCCTTCGGCTCATGATCCCGGAGTCCCAGGATCGAGTCCCAAATCCAGCTCCTTGCTCAGCGGGGAACCTGTTGCTCCCCCTGCTTATGCTTGCTGTTCCCCCACCCCCGTGTCAAATAAGTAAATAAACTCTTTTTAAGGAAATAAAATCTTAAAAAAAAAAAAAAGATTTGAGAGTGAGAAAGAGCATGCATGTGCACGGGGCAGAGGGGGGGGGGGGGCGGGCGGGTAGGAGAGGGAGCAGCAGACTTCTTGTCAGTCCCAGGACCTGGGGATCATGACCTGAGCCAAAGGCAGATGCCCAACTGAATGAACCACTCAGGTGCCCCAGATCCGCAGATATTTCCAATCCCCTTTTCTCTCCACCTCCCCCCCTTTTCCTTTTCTTCCTCCACTGGAAAGACTGGAAAGGCTTACAATTTCATTTCTCCACCTTCCTCAGAGCTAGAGGTGATTATGTTGTATACTTATGGCCAACAAATGAACACATATCTGCTGTGAATTTCTGGGGAGTTTTCCTTTTACGATAAAAGAATCAGATATGGAAGGCTCTGAGTCCTTCCACCTTTTTCAGTCTTGAATACAGACACATTGCCTTGAACTGCAGTGGCCATCTTGTTACCCTTAAGGGAAAGGCCACAAGACTCTCAGATACATTGGTATTGTGGAGTCATCGACCCAATGCCAGTAGCCAGCTCCTCTTGACTTCTGGTTGTGAGAAAAATAAATCCCTACTGAAAAACCACTGCTACTGGGATCTTCTGTTAAAGTAGAAAACATTCCTACCTGATAAAGAAATAGATAAATTTTAAGTGATATGAGCAAGAGATCTGACAGACAAAACAGATGACTTATTAGGGTATTATACAAAATGATTTAAGAAAGTTTTACGTAATAAAGCAGTTGAGAAGTATTGAGCTTAAAGGGAAAACATTTGATTAGTTTTGTTGCTGACTATGAAAACATTTGCCATTTAACCAATTATCTTAATTCTAATACTAAGGACATTTATCCATTGTCTTTTGTTTTGTTCAAGAGTCAAAGAAGGGGCGCCTGGGTGGCTCAGTCAGTTAAGTAACTGCCTATTGCTCAGGTCATGGTCCCAAGGTCCTGGGATCGAGCCCCGCATCAGGCTCCCTGCTCAGTGGAGAGTCCACTTCTCCCACTCCCTCTGCCGCTCCCCCTGCTTGTGCTCTCTCTCTAAAAATAAATAAAATCTTAAAAAAAAAAGAGTCAAACAAGATTTTAATAACCAAAACACATTTTCAGTAAGAGTTTATGTGTATATGTACAAGAAACAATGAAAAAGCACCAAGGATCTCTGTAAAATTTCACCATACAGTTTCTGTACAGGATGCTTCATCAATAAATGGCACTCAATTTGTTTTAAAAACATGTAATTACAGAAAACTGTTTTAACTGTTCATCAAAAACTGGCTGGTTGGGATTTTCCAAAGAATACTTCAGATACTCAAATCAATACAATTTATCTTCTAAATGTCAACTTGAGATGCACAGGTTAAGATGAAGACCCTTCGAATAATGTTGAAGATGTAATTCAATTCTCACTTGAGTTGCCCCTGTACATCCTCAGACTCAGGCTGCCTTCATCACAAGTATCTTCTATCCCTGAGAGGCCAGCTACATCAAGATGGTTCATCAGCTAAATCACGTTGGTCAAAATACCTAGTAAAAAAAGAATTTCATGTATGTTTAAAAATATTAATAGCAGCACTACTTGTAATAGCAAAACACCACAAATAACCCAAACATCCATCAATAAGGGCACTCGTTGAATAAACTATGGTACATCTGCACAGTAGAAGACTCGAGGCTTTTTATAAAAGCCTTTTTTATAAAAAGAAATGAGGAAAATACACCGCTATATAGTGTGACTTCTAGGATTTATTAAGTGAAAACAACAAGGTACAGAAGAGTATGTTTAGTATGCTACCTTTTGTAAGGATGTGTAGGAATTCAGATATATTTATATATACTTGCTTATACTTTTAGAAAGAGTGAATGGAAGGATAAACCAAAAATTAATAATAAAATGGAAAACTACAGAAGGGACAAAGGCTAGAGAGGATAAAGGTGGGTTCTAAAATACTTCAAATGTACCTTGAATTAAAATTTT